CTGAGTTATAAGAATGATGCTCAATCCCCATTTCCCCTCCAACAGGGCGTGAGAGTCTAGGCATTCCTATGGGGCACGGGCTAACAATGACTATATCATAATCATTGTGGCCATGAACATCTACTGCCATTCTTTAACACCGGTTTCGCTGCGCTGAGCGGTGGCCGTCCCGTTTGTTGGATTCTACAGCTGGCTGGTGGAAAGCGTTACCGGCCGCCCGTCCACCGCCCGCGGGCCGGACCGAGCGGTCCCGCTGACCCTACCTGACCTGAGCCCGGCGCGATATGGGACAGGCAGACGGGGGTTCGGCTCAGCGAAGGCAGCGCCCACTGGTGCTGGGGACTTTTTTAATAGACCTACTGTACAGCTTGGAGCCGGGCGCCGCCCGGTCTCCACGAGTGACGTCACGCTAATGCTTAGCGACCGGTCCATTGGAAATCGCGGGATGATTCTACCTCTCTTATACGGCCTTGCTGGTGCCCGCCTCTTGCGCGAGATGGCGAGAGGCAAGGCCCTAAATACAAGGTTGCACGGACTTATTTCTACTAAACCTACCAGAATATAGTTTCACGGTTGATTATTTAAATAATTATTCAATCAAAATTTCTTTATTATTATCTCGTAATCATTTAAAAGCAATTTTATGAATTAACTTTCAATTTTCTTGCCTTTTACTAGCAAAATAACTTTTCTAGTATTGGGTCAACATAGTGGTGTAGCAGTAGGAACCACATCTGGCAAAACCCCAATGCCTACATACAGCAGAAAAGCAGCCACCAGGTGTCGCCACAGTCGCCACTTGGTCGCCACACAGATGTCGCGCGCGTCGCTAATCGCCACACTACCGATTTCCATAAGGACGCATATGTACGGATATGTATAGGAAAGTCGCCCTTAAGGATTACGCTTACATCCTTTGCTTATGAGGTCGGTGGTTGGAAATTGGGAGGGGCTCAGCTATTTTCGACCGCGGATATGCCTTTATCACATGATGAGGAACATGCTGATAAGCGTTTTATGCGTCATAACAGCACAAAAGTATTTTTAATCATTTTTCAAAAATAGCCGTTCTGCCGTATCTTTCAGTGCAAGGTGCCGTCGGTCATCCCCGACGTGACGTCACGCAGGGAATTTGCCAGATTTTCCTACTAGACTTCGACACCCCCTGGCGAGAGGATTTTGAGGGTTGTTTGCAAACCAGATGTTTTACCTTCTCGATGTTTTCTGGGGTCCTTGTTTTTTTTTTCCTGCCATTTGGTTTTCTACTTGGGTTTCCTAAGTCACCTTCTCTAACAAATTGCTCAGTTCAGTGTTCTAAAATTGGATATTGGTTGATTGTGCCGATGAAGAAAAAAAATCCTAGGATGAGAAAATAGAAAGTAAATAACTGAAGTATTTTTGCAAAATGGTGTAATGCCAATTTTTATGCCAACTGTTAACCAGGATTTCATGTCAGGATCTTGACAGGGTGTGGAACAAAAGGATGTGGGTGCATCAACTGTCAAGTGACATATGAACTGGCTGTTGGGAATACATGAAACTCTTGTCAGAGATGAAGTTAAGTCGGTCATTCATATTTTAGGGATGAAAATATTTTCCCCATTAGGAGTGATTTGCCACCAAAAAGTCTGAAAAATGGAACACTGGCTCAGATAGACGTAAAATGCTGTTATATGATGGTGCTTTTCGAGTCTTAAAATGGCTGCGAAACTTTCTTTGTGTTACAACTACCGATTTTGATTCCCAGTAAAATTGTACTATCTTAGCCTTCTCTTCCTTGCTGTACGGATTCATTGTCAGGACTGACTTTTTGCATGCCCAACAAAACTCCATAGAACATAGCACGTGCATGTCAAAAATCATGCAAATTGCTCCAGTAGTTTTTCCACAATGAAGAAAAAAAAATGTTTCCATCCTTTTTGGTCCACCCTGTATAGTGTCCGGGCTAACCCGTGCCCGGCTTCCCGACAAGGGGGCCGAGCCGGGCCGCTGGCCCGTCTCGCCCGTGTCGTTCCGCCTCTCACCCGGACTGTGTTGGGCCGGCCCGCCGGACGTGACGACCAGCAGGGGTCCAAAAAGTTGGCCGACTGTCTCCCTCCTAGAAACGTACAGGTCAAGTGTCTCCCTACAAAAATGTATCAATATACCTGACATACCTGCATGTGACAATATACCTGTGACATATATTGACACATAGGATAGGAAAAGCGATTGCGATTGCTTGCAAGAAAAGCGAGAGGATGGGCTATAAATAGTCTCCCCCTAGTGGGGTGCGAGTTTAATAAACAAACAACTCTGGTCTTATAGAATAGATTTCAGAATAATCTAAACTTCTAAAACCTGTAAATGCTGTGGATCAGACTAGGCACTAAGCAGCAGAGTAATGGGCAAAGGCATAGACAAATAGACATTCTGGTCAGGCCATGGGACAGCATTCATCATGTCCCTAGTAACTTTCCAGTTGGATTCTTAAAAAAATTGACAACATGCTTTATGATCTATTATTCTTGATGACTAGGAAATGCTTGATTGTATTCTTAAATCTCAATACAGAATAGTATTTTTTTTGCCACAATTCAGTGATGTTTCAGTACAAATTTACCTGAACATAGTCCATGCCATTCACTTCTGAGGAGCAGCCACATTTCAAATGTGGTATGACAGTTTTGACACTCACACACATTTCAAATGTTTGATTTCTTATAAAACTATGCCTACATATGGGAACAGAGATGCTTGCACAATGAACCCTTTTGATTGCTCAATTTAGATGCAAGTGGCATATTCAGAACATTCCAATGAGGTGGCAAAATGTGTACAGCCTTTCAAGAGGCTACAGGTTCAAGACAAAGGGTCCATGGGGGCCTGTCTGTGAACCAGAAAAGGGGTCAGGTCAGGTGCCCTGTTTTGGCTGATCCAATGAAAAGTGATGTGAAAAAAAATCAGCTTAGTTGTAACTGTTGGATAATTTGGAGATCAGCTATGTGTCAATGACTAGAAAGCAGTAAGCACTCAAAAACAGCTTCTGAAAATCCATCTGCTGGCTTTTGAGGAGAAGAAGTTGCATTTTGCATAAGAAATGACAGTTAAAATTTGGGATAGGTAAGGTGTTATTTATATCATAGATTACATGATCATCATAATCATCATCATCATACTGTTTATTGGCACAAATTGGCATGAAACGCTTACCTTGGACTCGGAACTGAGTCACCTATTGGTACCCACCTACAGGCTACAAAAGTTTATTTGAAATAAAACTTGAAGTTAACAGGCTGACCAATGCATATAATTTGGTTCCACAGTATACCTAGGATTAGGAGACATTTAAAAACAAACTACCAACCCTCTCAGCCTTACGGAACAAAATAAAACAATACTGCAAACAGGTAGGTAACATCACAGTGCTCTCCTAAAACCAAACATGTGGGGCAATCGGCAGAGGTAAACTTGCAGTTAGCTGTTAAGAGTTTCGTCATATGCATTGAACGGATTGATGAAAAATTGTTTGCGCTTTATAAGTTTCATACCACAATTTGATTCACAGAACAAAAGATGCCTATAAAGTATGAATCGAAATTTTGATTTGTTCACAGGCACATGTAATACACAGGCCCATGTCACTCCACTTTTGATGACATCATAAGGGGGCCTCAGGACAATTAATGGCGATGTGCGCCACAATCGCTCCCAAGCTACTTGCCAACAGCTGCCATTTTTGAAAATATTATTTTGAAATAAAGTTTCAAGTAATGAAAATATTGTAATAAAGTTGTAAGTTAAATCTATACCATATATAAAACCTTACTGAAAAATGATTTATCCATAGTAAAAATATAAGCTCGATGCGTTTTTACGTTGCTTTCATGCCGCTGCAGAGGGTTTTTAAATCGTCTATGTCTTCAAAACCGGCCATTTCTTAGCATATTGCTCCCTTTTTTTGTCGCTAGAAAATGAGTTGGGCTTTCCATTGACATCAACGGCTGAGCGGTATGTGCAGAAAGCCATCAATAATCTTCAAATGAAGTTGGTCATTTTTACGTTACAAAGGAATGGAGTACCCTTTACAGATACAGATAATATATTCATGACAAATCCATGGTGCATGGTTTTTCATTGGCACACGTCAAACATTTACAACACAAGTAAAAGACCAGGCATAAAAAGCAGCACTCAACCACTCGACCTGAGCTAACCATGCGCCTCACACTGTTCTTTCAATAGATGCTTTTTGAGCTGGCGCCGAAAGTTTCGCACGGTGACGTCAAACGGCAGAGAGTCGTACTCACGCACTGCGCTATAACAGAGCCGCCGGCGACCGGCTTCCGTGCGGATTCTCGGCATCGCGTGGTCGGCAGCTCTGCGCGTCTCGTACGAGTGACGCAGGGTGTCACCGATGGTTTGTGCGATCGCTTCCGGCTTTCCAGTCGTAGTGACCCTGTGCACCAAACTGATGCGATGGTACTTAGCAAGGTTAGGGGCATTCAACCACTCCAAGTCGCACAGAACGTCACTGATGTGGTCGTATTTACGACGGCCGCTAATAACTCGAGCACCGAAGTTCAGCAGTTTCTGCACACGATGAATCTGAGTAGCGGTGCACGTACCGTATAGCGAGAAGCAATATCTGATAACGGAGTTCACGAGCGCTTCTACTACCACAGGCAGAGAGGCCTTCGGTATAACGTGCTTGGCGTGCATCAGACCGATTAGGACACCAGTACACTTAGCTGTCACATAATCGATGTGCGACCTGAAGCTGAGATGATTGTCCATGACCACTCCGAGATTTTTGACAACTCTAGAGTCCGGAATAACAGCACCCATGGCAGTCAGTGTGACAGGCGGCAGTCCTCGCAGCATAGCGGGGGTTCCTAGTACAAGGACCTGCGTCTTAGCGGTGTTTAGCTTCATAGTGTTTGCGTAGAACCACTGGAAGAGACACTCTAGCGCCTGCTCCATGCGTTGGATGACCTGTGCCAAGTCACGCTTTTTACCGCTCACAAGAAGTTGAGTATCGTCTGCAAATTGCACGATTGTGACACCGTCAGGCAGGTACAGACACATTTCGTTTGCAAACACCGAATACAACATACAACTTAACGATCCGCCTTGGAACACGCCAATTGTGTTTGACTTGACACTCGACCGCACGTATCCACCGTCACCACTGGCCATCTGCACCTGCTGAGTGTGTCCGCTTAGGTAGTTGCCGAACCACTCGGTATCTACCCCATACAGTGCGAGCTTATCCAGCAGTCTCCCGTGCGGCACAACGTCAAAACATTTGGAGAGGTCCAACAGCACCAGGATCGACACCTCTCCAGCGTCCATCGCCTCCAGCGCACGGTCGGTGATGACGCTGAGTGCCGTCTCGGTGCTGCGGCCGCTGCGGTAGCCATGTTGGGTGGTTGACAGGAGCTGGTTGGCCTCCAAGTACTGCACCAGCTGGCGCTGGACGACCCGCTCAACAACCTTCATTATCGCCGGCAGGATGGAGATCGGGCGAGTGTTTGCTGGCTCCGATGGTCCTTGTCCTTTTGGGATTGGCGTTACCATTGCATGTTTCCAGGGGCCGGGCACGTTGCTGGTCGTCAGGCTGGAGTTGACTATGTCCAACAGGACGTGACCCATGCCCCAAAAGAAGGTGCGGAACATGCTGACGCTGATCCCGTCGTTGCCTGTTGAAGTTGACGGCTTCATGTGTAGCAGGAGCAGGCCGAGCGTGTCCATGTCGATCGGTTGCGGTCTGAACCGGCTCGTCGTGACACGCGGCAGTCTGACCGGCACTGGTACCGTGGGCGGGGGGACGCTGGCAGCTGTGATTGGCCCTATGCTCACATAATAGTCGTTTAGCGCGTCGGGCGTGGCGCTGGGAACCGCAGCCTCTTTCTTGCTGCCGATGATGGGCCGTAGTACCCGCCAGACTTTGCTAGGCCCTGCTTTGGCCAGTTCCCGGTTGATGTGGGCCTGCTGGTCTTTCCGGACAGCCGCGCGGCACAGACGGTTCAGCTCCTTATAGTTCTCTCGGTCGCCACCAGGGCGCAGGGCCTGTCTCCGTCGCGCCATCAGGTCTCTGGTAGGTGCCGAGACCAACAGGCTCCCAGGAGGTCGCTGCTGCACCCTCGTAACGGGTGCCACTGTGTCCAGCTGCCCGAGGAAGATGTCGCAGAACGACTCCCACTTGCTGGCTGTCAGCTGTGTCCGGAACACTGGGCTCCAGTCGATGTTGTTCAGCTGCCGGTTGAAGCTGTCGGCGTCGATCCGGCCGAGTCGCCGGCGCTGTGTGACCGGGCCGGCCACCCTGGTCCTGCCGGTGCACTGCAGCACAGCTCGGGTGTAATCGTGCGGGGTGCCATAGTGGCAGCGCGTGACGCCAGCGCGCAGCAGGTAGTCAGGGCGGCTGACAGCCACGATATCCAGCAGCGAGCCGGCCGGTCGGTAGGTCGGGTGCCGGTTGTTGCTGATTGTCAGTCCGTATGTTGTCAGAAGTTGGCGGAGTCGCTGCCCAGGAGAGTCGGCTGCACACTTGAGCTGACAGCAGTTCAAATCACCAGCGATCACCAGTGTAGCACCAGCGTGGGTGGCTAGCATGTGCTGAACCTGCCCCTCAAAGTCGTCTAAGTCCGCAGTGACCTGGGCTGAAGTGTTCGTTGGCACACGGTATACTGAGGCGAAGACCATGCCTCGACACTTCCCGACATATACCTTAGCCCATAGCACTTCAAGATTCGAGTTTAGTACACCAGTCACAGGAGTTTTTAAAATCTCAACACGGTACACGTCACGAACCAGGAGCGCCACACCACCGCGTCCCTTGGCTAGTCCGCGAGTGTCGGGACGGTCACACCTGTACAGCCGGTAACCGTCTATGTTCAGAAGTCTATTCGGTACGCTAGGCGTCAGCCAGCTCTCACACAATGCTAACACATCGTACTGGTAGTCAGGAAGGTCAGTCCGTAGGTCTGCGATCTTGGGCTTGAGTGACTGGACGTTGAGCTGTCCGATCAGCAGGCGGTCCGCCGTGTTGTCTCCGTGCCGACGCCAGTCCTTTCCCCCTCTCCTGCGGCGGGGCCGGGCTCGCTTCCTTCCCCCACGCCGGTTCCGAGCGCTGACCGGTGTAGAGTCAGCCGCCGCTCCGGGCCCGGGCGGCGGCCGGCGGGCCAGGCTGGGCGGCGGCGGCGCGGCGCCGGTGATCAGCTGACCTACGGTGGGAGGCAGAGTGTGGGAGCGGTCCGGAGGATCGGGCCGGAGCTGGCCCATCACTCCCACTCTGTCCCGGTCAATCTCGGCGGCCGACGCCTCAGGCGACATGTCAAGGTCACGCGCTGGGCCAGCGGCCGGCGACGTGTCAAAGTTACGTGCCGGGCCGGCGGCCGGCGCCGCACGCCGAGCTGGACGCCACGGGACGACAGCGGGCGCCGCGGCTGCAATCAGCCTCTGGACGGTGTAGAGGACGACCAAACTGTAGAGTAGGTCTAGATGACACATCTTGATGATGATTCACGAGTTCACACGGCACAGTCGGTCGATTGAGCACTGCACTTTCGCAAGGACAGGTATCCAACACTGGGTGACACTAGGGTGAGGAGAGCCCTCGCTCGCGTGCGCACCGTGGCGCGGCTGGCGCAGAACTGGTTCTGGTTCTGGTTCAGTTGGTTCTGACTTTGCGAGCATCAGGGGTGACGTCACTCAGGATCTGTCTCTGATTGGTCGGCGGGGGAGTGACTGTACCTTCTATAGATGGCCTTGGTAATACACATGCTTAGGTACTTTTTTACCCAGTCCAAGACTGCATTTTTCCTCTAGGTCCAAAGCCAGAATCCGTTATCAGCACAGATACCTTGCTTTCCATGTGGCCCTTTAGGTTCTATAGAGCCTTGGGTTCTTATATACAACTTCGACGCCGCAAACACCGCACTTCACCTTACTTCTGTACATATATATAGGGCATCTCAGAACATGGGAACTACTTGTAGAAATAAAGAAAAGACCAAATCAAAATATTTAACCCACTGAACTCTATAATGATTTAACCACACCGCACGTAAGCAACATACGCGAGAACTGCGCCAGTTTGAGTTTGCGGCGTTCAGTTGGTTCTGACTTGGTGCAAAATATGACGTCATTATAGGACCATATGCCCAGTTTTCTTTTGATTTTCCTTTTAACTCTTGTTTTTCATTAATTTCTTATTGAAAAAAAGCTATTTGAATAAAATTTATGTAATTTTATCAGCATACTGAATGAAATGCAAAGATCCTTCATTCAATAGATGACGTAATTTATATCTGTGTCTCCGGGAGCGTCAAAAAATATGCATCGACGGACAGTGCCAGGAAGGGTCATACTCCTATTCGATCGTTAGGGAATCAGCCCTTATTGATTGATTAGCCCTTCCACCTCTGGGTCGGTCGCTTCCACCATGGGCGTAACCACCGCGCTGGAACGCTGGAAATTCCAGCCCATTTTTGGGATGCTGAAATGCCGCCCCTGGTAGAAGAAGTCTGCAATTGGGGGGTTTAGTTTAGGGACTTCAAAACGAAACAAAAGAAACGGCACTGCTTGGTCCACTATATGCCTGACCTCAACGTGCCGTTCCTCACTAAAATACCTAACCTCTATACATGCCGCCCCTCCCAGATGCCCTGCCGCCCCTTCGCACCGACTCTCCCTCAATTTTCTCGGAGCTCTCTGTGCCGCCCCTTACAGAACCCCACCGTCATCAATGTGCCGCCCTTCCGCATAATGCTCTATCGCCGTCTGTGCCACCCTCCCCAGATGACTTGCCGCCCCTTCCCAGAGTACCTCGGCGCTCTCTATGTGCTGCCCTCGCCACAACTTCCCGCCGCCCTCAATAAGCCGCCCCTCCCCACAATGCTCTATCTAGCAGTCGGCGCCGCCCTCCCAAGGCACCTTGCTGCACCGCTACGTGGCGCCCCTCCCCAGACACCTTTCTGCTCTTACACGCATCCCTTTCCCAGAACGTTTTATGATCCGTCCCTCCCTATAACGCTGTATTATTTCACGTACGTACCTATCTATTATCCAGGGGCGTAGAGACAGGGGGGCCACTGGACCATGCCCAGCACCATTTGCGATTGAAGGCGCCGAAGGCGCCCTCCAATCGCGAATTTGTTTACAGGGAAAATGCGGTTGGAGGGCGCCCTCCGGCGTCCTCCAACCGCTTTATAGGCTGTAGCGCTCAAATCGTAGTGGTAGTCGCCAATTTAAGCCTGTTGATCGCAGCCGTCCTACCTACTGGCGCCCTCATTTTGATCGGAATACCCCTACCTATTGGCGGCCTCCTATAAATCGGCGCCCTTACCCAAAGGCGCCCTCCTGTAGGTCGCCGCCCCGCTATCCGTTGGCGCCTTTCGGCTGGTCGGCACCCTCCTACCTACTGCGCCCTCCTGTAGAATTTTGATTGCCGCCGTCCTCCGTTCTGGCATCCTCTTGTTGATCGCCGCCCTCCTACCCATGTGTCGCCATCCGTGGCTCCCTCTTGTTGAGTGTTGATCGGAACCCTCCTACCTTTTGGCACCCTCGTGTTCCCTCCTACCCACTGGCGCCCTTCTGTTGATCACCGCGCCATCCTACCCACTGGTACCTTCCTGTTGATCGCAGCCCTACTCATGCAGGTGCCATCCTGTTCAATGTCACCCTCTTGGGCGAAGGCGCCCTCCTCACTATTGCCGCCCTCCCGTTGATCGTCAACCTTGCGCCCATTGGCGACTTCCTGTTAATGATCGCCCTCCTACCTATTGACGACCTGCTGTTGATTGCAGTCATTCTGCCTATTGGCGACATCTTGTTGATCGCCACCTTCCTATCTATTGGCGCTCTCCTGTTCCTCGCCGCCCTCTTACCTGGTGGCACCTACTTGTTGATTGTCGATCGGGCCCCTCCGTCCTACTGGCGCCCTCCTGTTGATCGCCGCCCTTCTACCCATTGATGAGCTCCTGTTAATCGCCGCCCTCCTACCTTTTGGCGCCCTCCTGTTGATCGCCGCCCTTCTACCCATTCGTGACCTTTTGTTGATTGCCATCATCCTACTCATTGGTGCCCTCTTGCTGATCACCGCCCTCCAGATAATTAACATTCTTCTGTTTTTCGGTGCTCCCCCACCTACTGCCTACTGGCGCCTTCCAGGTGAATGTTGGCCGGGGCCCTCCTTCCTATTGGCACCCTCCTGTTAATGTCTGCTCTCCTGTCGAATGTCTATCAGGGCTCTCCTATCTTTTGGCGCCTTCCTGTTTCATGCGGATCGGGGGTCCTCCTATTTGGCGCTCTCCTGGACCTGATGATCGCCGCCCTCTCAGTCATTGGTGCCTTCCTGTCGATCGCAGCCCTTCTACCCATTGGCAACCGCTGTTGATCGCTGCCCTTCATTTATCTACGTTTCCCAGCGTGCCGCTCTCTTTCACATATTTGATGCCTTGCCTGTCGAAACTGCCACAGATGAGCGTGCATTCAGCACAATGAATGAAGTAAACCAAAACTCTACGCTCCATGCATGAAACCCGTCTTGGTCTTAGCAGATTGATCTTACAATTATGACATTTAGGTACAGGGATTAGGTATGATAAAGAAGTTAATGGGCACGGCCGCAACAACAAGCATTTGAAATTTCGGCGATTGAAATTGGTTATGTGTTATGTGCTAAGCACTGCATGGGCCTGTGAGAACTAGAAGGCTATAGGGGCTGGTCTGAGGTAATTTAGGTGAGAAGCCCGAAGAGACTAACCCGCTCTCATGAGGAGCAGTCCTGTTTCGGTTTATGTTTCTGATGCTTGTTGCTGCGCTGCTGCTTCTTGTTGTAAGCTTGTACTAACGCATCTCGTGCTTCGGTATCAATCCGATACGGTGATATGGTGTGGATGCCGCCACCAATAAACTTTTTCTACACCGTCACCCATGGGCGGAGCTTCCTGCACAGTTGGTGTGGCAGGTCCCACCAACCTTTATTTTTGCCCCACCAACTTTGCTAAAAGAGTGAGAAGAGCTTTGAACAGAGAACAAATCAGATGTGCTTAAAAAGCGGAGAAAGTGTTTGTTTTCGAAAATTTCGCGCGCCCTCGGCGCAGCATTTCAAGAACACTTTGGCAATAGGAACTTAGTGCCTGTGCCAATCACTTGCAACCTTTTTGCCACTGTGAGATTAACCCAATACCTATCAAGTTTCGCAGCACTGTGCGTCGCAGCTTTCCTTACACACGCAAAAAAAAAAACTGGTGGCGTGGTAAAAAACGCCCCCCCCCCCCTCCTGAGCGATCGTTACGGATTTCTATCTCGTCACCGTATGGCGCCCTCCTTGGGTGAGGTGGCGCCCTCCTAACCCTTGCCCCCTTCGCGATTTTCTAAATACGCCGCTTTCTGTTATGTAAACTTTTAACCAGGATAGCTTACTTCCTGTGGCTGCCCTAAAATTGCTGGCTAGGTTTGACGCCAACCAGTCAGAACTCAGATCCCATTGCAATTGAACTACCCTGAATGAAGTGAACTATTTAAGAGTGTACCTATCATTTATCAATCCGGTGCGTAGTAGGGCAAAGTCAAACTGCTAGCAACGGGCTGACCGCCCATCTTACGCATGCATATCTACCTCATAAAGTATCAATATTTCATACACCAGAGCCTTGGCGGGTTATCTACGTCTGCCCCTTATAACGTGTAGTCAGTTGACTGCTGATTATTGCTTTAATTTCCCAAAGCGAAAGTATATTAACCCTCGCCCGTATTGGTGTTTTTTTTTTTTTATTCAGCCGCGAACGTATAGGGGGGGGGGGGGACCTTGCCGTTTGGCCCCTGATCGAGCTAGAGCTTCGCGGAGAAACGACCGTGTTGCCCGTGACGAGAAGAAGCCGATGATACCCAATTTTAAGGTCTTAGGTCATCGGTTGACCTTCCAGGTCAGGTCAATGACCCAAATGTCGGGAAAATCGGGACCTGTTAGAACGTCGTAAAGGGTGGCTGCTATGGAGTTTTCGGGGTGCTGATCACGCATATTATGTTAATTATAATCATAGATGATGTCTTCATGCATTTGGCCAGGTCGGGTCAGGTCAGGTCAGGTCAACCAGTAAGGGTTTTGTCGGGTATTCGTCATGGGTTGCAACCGCCTCTGACAGCTTCGTAACATGTTTCGAAGGCACCAAAACTACTTCGTAAATGTTCAAATGGCTGCTAAATTGGAATTTAGCTCCAAAAACTAACCTAGAAACATGTAAAGCTCGAAAAAGTGAACCGAGGTCATCAAAGGTCAATGACCTGACCTGACCTTCCGGTGACCTTGACACCCACCCTTATGCATG